AAGTAGGCTGGATGGATTTTGAGTGAATTTTTTCAACTTTTGATGAAAATGGGTGATTCACCTACTATTCGTTCCAAAATAAAATGCCATCGGTTACTTTTTCGAATAACTCAGTCACACTAACAGATAGCCACCTGCACTATTTTATTCATTTCTTATAGGTAAGACCAAAATCAACCAAATGTAGTTTTTCACTACATCTTTGAATTAGCTGCATCTTACATTATCGAATAAACAGAATAATTACTGGTTGCAACCGATAAACAACCATTTGCATTATATTATGTAAACCATGTATTAGCTGATCCATCACTGTCACAGTGATTTGATAAAACAAAATGGATCAGTTGACTTCGTATTATAAATGTATGATCATTTATAATTATAAGAAATATAATATATAGTCGGAATGATCTCATGAGAAGGGCAGAATTAAAGCTTCAAAATATAGAAATCGGATTGCATATAATGAATGTAACATATAAATGTAATAGCCACAGCGAATGAGACCAAGAGCCTCTAAGAAATTTGAATTTTCTGTAAAAGTTGCGATAAAAAGTTATGCATATGCTTAGATAGTCTTTGGTGTCTACTTTCAGAATCCAACCTAAAAGATCATATATCTATGGTTTTCGAGGGATTTTGAAAAAGTTTTGAAAAAGGACTCCTACAGATCAGAATTAAATCTACCTGAAAACTGCCCAAAATCTTGAGGTTTTCATATAGCAGACTATGTTGAGAAACGAAATACTTTTCCTTTGTTTGAAATTCTTATGCAACACGCCTATTACTATTAGCTCCAAAATACAAGACCGGTGGTTACTTTTTTAATGACTCAAAAAAAGATACTGACTTGTGATTATCATCATTCGAGAGCCAGGACCTGAAGCTATGTTTTCCTAAGCAAAAGCGAACTTGAAAACGACTTAAAAGGTGTTTCGTGAAAAGGGAAACCCAGATGGAAGATTGCTGGATAAACCTGTTGCAGTGGAAGAGTACAATGCGCAAATGTCGGGAGTTGATCGTATGGATCAAATGTTAGGGTCATACGCTTTTGGCTACGAGTCTACAAACTGGTACCATACTGTATATCACCGAATTCATAAGGTTGCCCTGATCAATGAACACATCACATATAAACGAGAGAAAAGGGATAAATGTCTGGATGCCACCAATTTTCGCAAGAAAGTAATTGATAGTTTACTGTCAGAATATACTGTTGTCGAAACTGTCGGACGCGGCAGACCGTTTCAGCAAGCATTGCCAAACAGGCTGACAGAACGTCATTTTCCTGCCAGTTACGATGACAAAAAATACAAACCAGATTGTATTGTGTGTAGCATCAGGCAGAAAAAACAGCGTCACCAATGCAATACGTATTGCAAACAGTGCAATTTACCAATGCATGCAATTAGTTGCTTTGAACGCTATCACACTCTTCAAAATTACCAGAAATAAAGTGACTCGTGTTTAAAATAAATGTTTTCAAACTTTTCTTCAGTGGACATTTTTGTTAACGTTATACACAGTTTTATGTGCTGACAGTAATAAAATAAGCAGTTACAGTTTGCTCACTCGAAATACGACTTTTACCGAAAAATATATGGCCTAGGGCGTTGACCGAAAAAATTTATTCAGCCCAGAAAGAGATACACAACGTGTATGTTTTCTTTTAATAGTAATTTCTTTTCTGTTATCGCAGTCTTACGATCACTTTATCGTATAGTCTATTGCAGCCATGCACTACTTTTTGTTTTAATATATAAATTTGAAATATTAAATTATATATAACTAAAGTTGGGGTAAGTACACATCAATTTGGAAGTGTGTGGAAGCAGAAAAAAATAATCCCTTTCGTTTTTACTACATTTGTTAAAGTTGAGCCGTTTTTCTCCTAACAGTTTTGAAGTAAAAGACGGGGTTATCATCATTCTTTTTCGCCACGGTTAACAATATATGTGTATTAACAAAATATGTATTTTGTTTCTCTTACTTTCAGCCCGATGCACGGAATGCCGGATTGCGCTTTTTCCCGCTTGAAATAAATCCGTCGGAAATGGAAAATCAAAAAAACTATCAAAAAACGCCCTCTCCTCCTACTGTGAATGATGAGATACGGTTACATCGAGGTCCTAGTCGACTACTTTTGACATTATCTACATAAAACAAACATTGTGAATCTCGACCGAGATTCTCCATAACAACTTTCCATTATGCCTTTCACACACATACACAAAAATACTATCTTTTCCATTGTTTACATTCTGCACCTCCGCAGTGAGAGAACTTAGCTCACATTTAACCATACCATTATCATATTGAGCATCCATATAAGATATCCCTGTGGTCAAATCAACACCAGATCGGGTGGATTAGCACCAGGGGGTAAAGGATTAATATTTTTATTTCTTGTTTGTAGAATTTTTCTTTATATTTGTTGTTTCAAAAGCAAACATTTTATTTAATTTTTATTTACATGGAAGAAAGCAAATTCTTTTCGAGTATGCAGATCTATATGTGTATAAAACCTGCGCCTAATGGAATAAAACAAGTCTTCAAGCCGCTCAGACTTCTACAAGCCATCCTTGTCTTGGAACGATGCTCTACACGTGCCTGTCTTGTGCTTTCTTATCTTTCTTTCTTTGTCGTGCAAAGCAATGAAAGGGTTTAACCAAACTCTTGCATCGTATTCTCACAGACGTCTTTCTTAAAGAAAGACACGTGCATCGATACGATGCAAGAGATTGTCTCTTCAATTTACTGGAAAAGATTTTCAAAAAGTGGAAAAGGCATGAGTATGTCAAACTTGTTAAGGCTGTACTATTTATGAGTTTCTACAGTTTTGAACTGTGTCTTCTGCTATTACACATTTTATTCTTGAAAAATTTTCTGTATTATATTGCAGTATGTATTTTACGTTATTCGTTAATTTGGAAGAAAACGGTGATGGGTAAACCAAGTTGGTTTACCCATCAGAAGAGAGAAATAATTGGGGAATAGAGGAAGAGCGGAATAGAGGAATGACAGAGGAATAAGAGAGGAATAGTCCGGGAATAGAGGAATAGCGGAATTGAGGAATAGGCTCAGAGAAATTACCTTAAATAGCATCCGTTAATAATGAGTATCCAAGAGTAGATTAATTGTTTTGGTAGCAATGCATTTTCATCATTCAATCATTTTAAGATATGGTATGAATCTATGTATAGTTTCGGTTCAATAAAACTTTTGTTCGTGCAGATTCTTTTGCAAAGAATACGTTTGTGAACATACAGTTAGATTGTAATTGCTTTTGGCTATCACGTAATCTCAAAAGATCGTATGCCTTTAGGACCAAAAAAATGTGGTAGATCAAACAAATCTAGTCGAGCTCTACTTTTTTGAAATATCATATATATTTGCATTTTTTGTACAATATTTTTTTGCGCGTAATGTATATATATAATAATTCACTATTCGAATATGTGACCGTTCTCTTTTCAGTCTTTTGAACTCAGAATTCTGAACCGTTCTCATTTCAGCACTAATTCCGTTCTCTTATCGATTTTTTCGTTTTATAATTCTGACCGTTCTCTAATCACTCCAAATTTGACATAAATAGATAACTGTTCTCTTTTTAGCCCCAATTCCGTTCTCTAAAAAATCCTTGTCTTAAACCTTCATCACGGGTTCTGTTTCTTAATTAATTCTTAATCAGCTTCATTGTTGAAAATGAACGTTCGGCAATAGCAACTGAAACTGGAAGAATACCAAACAGTTATACCAGCTGATATATATTAAGAAAGAAGTTTTTAATTGATTCAATTTCTTTCAGCGTTTCATTTATTGTTAATGGTCGTCATTGCTCTGGTTTTTTAGTCCATGTATGTTTTCATACTTGATATTCACTTTTGAATGTTTCTGGATCATCCGTTGCTAAATCATCTTTATAATAATCAAACATTTTTTCAATTTCATCATTAACTGTAAGATGAACAACATTCGATGGTAATAATTGTATAATATTAATAACACTTTGTTGATGACAATCAAAACGATATGATAATTCTGTTAATGTTATATCAATGAAAGAGAGATACACATTTCGAAAATAATCGTTAATATCATTTGATTTAACAGTAGTGTGTAAGGGTGTCAAAAGTTATTGAAAAATGTCTGGATTTTTTTGTACGTACAATCTAAAGTTGCTTTGAAATCTTCGTGTTCATCAGACGGTTGAAATGGTTGATTAAGTTTTCTCTTTAAGATTTTCATAGTAAACCAGTGTCTACAGCTTTTCATTTATAGAAGAACGAGAAAAGTTTGTGCACTCTGTAGTGACTAGAAATATTGTTTTAGTATATTTTCATGTTTATTGATCGTAAGAAAACCCAGGAAATGATCTAAAAATGAGCAGTTAATGTGTAATCCATGCCACATAAATGAGCTATTTAGTACACAATTTTCTTCTCATTTTGACCATCATGGGTGTTGTGTTTAGTGTTGTCTACTTATTTATCTCTTTTTATTTGTTGATAATATATTATGCACACACTATTACATTGCCAGATTATACAGAAAAGGATAAGGCGCTGACATCTATCGTTGTTAAAGGAATGTCTAAATAAATGTCTTTTTTTCAACCTCCGAACCGTTCGATCATATTACTGTCGTCATAAAAAAAAAATGTTAAAAAAGAGAACGAAGAACCAGGAGAAAAAATGTATTTTCTCTTCTAGCGGTGTGGTAGTGGAGATACGTCTTTTACTAACATGCTTTCTTTTTCTTTTCTGTCCATTAAAAAAGCAACAACAAAGAATCGGTCTAACTTGTAAACGTCAACGCAGAAAAGGAAAAAAAAAGTAGTAAACCAAGTCTGGTGCTTACTATTACATAAACGATATTTTTCACACTAAACTTACTTATAACAAACAATTATATCTATCTGTAAAAGATAATCATAACTCAACCTTTCTATTCTACGGACATATAACGTGGAGGTTATCGTGTCCATTGATTTCAAAATGTCAAAATCATTATTACTTAAACAATGTGAAGAGCTAAGTCATCTTTTGATATCAATTAAGAAAAATATTGAGATTCTGCCGAATGAACTATCGCCGTCGTCTTTGTTAAAGAAGGAAACCATCATTCATGATGACGTAGTGATGTTAAATGTTGGCGGACGTGAATTTCAAACAACAATTAGAACATTAACAAAAGAAAAACCAAATACATTTTTCACAGAATTATTCGCACGTGAATGGGAATCGGAAAAAGATGCACGTGGACGTTTATTTGTTGATCGGAATAGTGATTTATTTGCTGAAATTTTAGATTATATGCGTACCGGTGAATTTATTCTGCCCGAAGAAGAACGTTTACGTAAACGTTTGATAACTGAAGTCAAATTTTATCGATTAAATACTTTATTCGATATTTTAACTGTACCAGATAAGAAATTTCAAGGTGGTACAACACTTTTAAATATTCAACAACAGCAGAAACTTAATGAATTTTATGGTGTTAAAAATCAAAATTGGCAAATGATTTATAAGGCAACGCGAGACGGTTTTAATGCAAAAGATTTTCATCGTTTATGCGATAAGGAAGATGAAACAATGACCGTTATTAAATCGATTAAAAGCTATTTATTTGGTGGTTATTCGCCCCAAAGTTGGTCACCATCAGGAACTTATTCAATTGCACCAAATTCATTTCTATTCTTATTAACAAATTCATATGGTAATCAGCCGACAAAATTTACTTCTCATCAACATTTCAATAGTAATGCTGTTTATAACTATGCTGATCATGGTCCAGCTTTTGGTGAAGGAGCTGATTTACGTATTCAAAGTGAAAGTAATACAAATACAAATAGTTATACAAATTTTCCAAGCACATATATGGATACGCTTGGACATGGACAAAATACATTTACCGGTGAACGAAATTTTCAAACATCAGATATAGAAGTTTTCAAACTCCTAATATAAACTATAACATAAAATTGCAAAACGATATACAACTTGTCTTAGACACATAAGTGTTATTTTTATTTTTTTGAAACGCGAATTACAATATATATGCTTACTCATACTTCCTATAAAAACGTCGACTGTGCAATCGGGATCCTACGAATTGGTTTTTTGTTGATTAAATGACCTAGAGGTCGGCGGTGGCTCCATATTGTGATAAGTTCAGTCAGTTGGTGAGATTCTATTCTCTTAGAAGTTTCCAAAACTTAAATGAGAAGGAAAAACTGAAACGCGATGGGTATGTATGATTTTTGTCAAAGAAGCCCGTATAGGCTATAGTTCTGAAAGTTTGAGAGTCTATTGATTTTGGCATTTCTGAAGAAAAAAATTTGGGTTTTAAGTGCAGACGAAGTCAGTCCATACTGAATCCAAACGGGCTTAGCACAATTGAAGAACATTTAAAAACTATCTTTATTCTTGCAGTGGATCGTTTATAGATGTCCACCTCTGATTTCAATGATCTTTTGGCAATGTGATAGTAAAACCTCTAAAAGGATTTAAAAACCGGTCTAAAAGAACCGCTCTTATTGCTTTAACAAAAAGTTATGACGGTTTTCCTTTTTCTCTCAGCGAAACACGAAAAAATTAATTAACTTAATAACTCACGAGGGAAGGTCACCAACTGCCACCTTGCTTTTTAGCTCTAAGCTAGTGGGTATTAGGTAAAAAAATGTGCTGAATCCGAATATGATAATGGTTTGGGCCGCTAGGCCTCCAAAGACTGGATTTCCAGAAAACCAATTTTCCAGAAACTCCATAAACTCTCCAAAACTTTTCTTAATAAGTTAAAATTGTAGCACGCGAAATTCTGACCAAAATGACATTGCCCAGCTCTACATGACATTTCTTTGCAAAGTTATGGAATTTACAAGAAAAGCCCCAATGTTCATTGTCAGCTCAAAGCTACAAATAAACTGAGATATTTTTTTATTGGTAGATATTTGAAAGAGTTTAGGTTCCAAATATATGAGTCAATTGCAACTTCTTTGTACAATGACATTTTGGAAATATTTTTGCTACTAACACCGTTGTTATGAATCGATTTTCAAACTTTTTTTATTCTCTATCCCAGACCCTAGCCCAAGGGGGAAACAGCGGACTCCAGACTTCAACACACCAACTGACTCCACTTGACTCCAAATGACTTCAATTGATTTCAACTGACTCCAGACAAGTCATATCTGATCGAGTCTATTGGCCTTTTTTTAAAAACTTGTCATTGTTGTATTCCCATTCTAGAACAGATGTCCTATTATGAAAATCGATTCCCAAAAACAGCACAAATTTACTTTTCCAAGGGCGTCAATTCCCATAACAGAACAAAAAATCTGCTGTTATCGTAATGTTTTCCCGAAAATGGGAAACTTTTGTTCTATTTTGGGAATCGGATCCTTTGATAGAGCAAAATGTTCCGTTTTGGGGAATAAAACATTAACGAGTTCATGTCCTTCACAGTTGAAATAAGCCATCACATCCCCGGAGTCCATCAGACTCCATCGAATCTCATAGGATCTTTTATTTTACCTTCTGAGTACACCACATCAGGTGACTCCACTTGACTCCAAGTGACTTCACAAGACTGGGATCCCATCTAGTCTGCTATTTCTCTCGTGGGCTCCACCCTATCACCTGATTCCACCTCATCAATTAACTCCAACGCATCAAGTGACTTCACTTGGCTCCACTTGACTCCAAATGACTCCATGCGTCTGGAGTCCGCTGTTTCCCCCTTGCCCTAGCCACACTACCATAAAAATTTCGTAACAATATGCCGTCAACTAACTGAGTTACGTGGGTTTAAATAGGTTAAAAGTGAAAAATATCCGTTTTTTCGATGAGTCATTGACTGAAAAATAGATTTTCTAAAGAAAAGAAAGAACGATATCAAAAAAGTAAATAGTACGGTTTGTAAAGCTTTCAATTCTCTATCTAATTTTGCCATTCACTTTTGAGTTTGTTTACTTCTGAGTGTTCCTTCAGGTTCAAAGTCCCTTTACACTCAAAGTGTAAGGCCAGTTTAGAACGTCCGTAGAGAGCATGTAAAAGCGATTTTCGAAAAATCAAGTCGGCCAAAGACAGAGCTTAGAAAATACTACAAAATCTGCTAATAATCGCTTGTGTTGCGAACCTTGAAATTGAACAAAAATTTGAAAAACTCACGTTTACACGCTAAGTGTAAGGCCAGTGTTTCAAAGTTAATTCACTTTTTAGCCTCAAACAACTGACTGTACTGCTATGAAAGTTTCATAGAAAGATGCAGCTCGCAGAATTGAACAAAACTGACATAGCAGTTTCATTAAAGTTCCAGGCTTTGTCAAAAATTTTTACATTATACCTCGAAATGTAAGGCCAGTTTTTCTTACGAATTTTCGAGCTTTTTTCGAATGAAACTGCTACTATTATATATCGTTCGACTCCTCACGAAGTTCATGAAACTCTTTTTGAAGCGTTCGGAGGCAGCTTGAAAATAATCGTCTGGATTTTACAGAAATATGAAGCGATATAGCATTGTTAAATTAATTGTGTTTAGATTATAATTTTGAGTTTGTCTTTTCTGACTGTCTAGTCTTTCTAGATGGTACTATCTGACAGGAAAAACACTGTATACGAAAAAACCTATAAAAAAAGAAAAACTGAAAAGAATTCAGTCAAAAACTTTGGACAAAAAATGTAAACCAGCTCAGAGAAAATGGACAGCAGCACATCGATTGAAGAAAAAACAGCTGAAACAAGAAGGCGTGTCAGCTAATGTTTCGGTACCGTCATCCACTACCAAAGTTGATCTCAGAAAGAAAGAAGGAAAAAAAACACGTAGATCTAAAACCCAAAAATTGAAAAATGAAATAGAACAACTTCGTGCCACTGTACGTCAATTAACTAATGAAAACGGAAAATTAAAAGTATCTCAATCTGAAACTCCACCACGTCCGTCGCCGAGTCCAATTTTTCTTGACAATATTAGTCCTTCCGCTAAACGTCGTGCAATCACACGTTTGAAAGATGCAAAAGACACTTTGGCTCATGGAACGCAGAAAGATATTCGAACAGAATTAGGTGTAAATCTATCAAACCCTAGTGCTCCGAAGAAAACTGCTCCATCATTTATTCAAACCACCATTGAAAATTTCCTATGTCAAGATCACATTAGTAAATTGTGCCCTGAGAAGAATAAAATCATTGATAATAAACAAGTACGATACTGTCTAAATCATCTATCAACTCTCCATGAGATTTTTGAGTATGAAACAGGTGTTGAAATTGATTATGTGACATTCACCAGATAAGTACCGTCATACGATACGTACCATCATACGATGTAGGTAACGTTTTTGGTAGTTGCGAAAGTTCAGAAGGACTATCAGTTGTTTTTTACAATTTTGGACTTTGAAAGAGCACTTGCACCGAGCACACGAACAGTTCAAAGCAGCCAAAACGCATGCTAAAGAAAATGATAGCGTTGCCTATATTCAGCTTGATTGGTCAGAGAACTATGATCTAAAGCAAGCTCGTGAAGAAAAAGGTAGTTTTTCTGTTTTTCTAGGAAAAGTCTTGTTTGCGATTTTGTCACTAATATAGCCACACAAAATAATCTTTCTCCTGTCTTTCTTAAATAGGTGCTTACTATTATGAACACCATATCGCTCTTCTCACCGGCCATGTATGGCTTAAAACTGGATCCTTTAGCGTCGGTTCGATCAGCGACGACACTAGCCACATGAGTGAAGCTAGTTGGTGTGCAATTAAAAATGTTTTGGAAGATTTAATTTACCAAAAAAATGTTGCCACCATCAACATTATCTCCGACTCTCCTGTTTCGCAATTTAGAAACAAAACAATGGTCTTTTTAATGAATAAGTGTGCTAAAAGATAAAGTGGTTGACATAAGATGGCTATTTCTGTAAAGTGGTCACGGGAAAGATGTAGCAGACAGCGTGGGGTTAGTAGTAAAACGTCTATTTGACGAAGCTGTATCTTTTTGCCAAGAACTTGTCTAATGAACCAGGGAAGGAAGTGAAAGTTCGAGTAAAAAAGTAGAGTGCCATTTTATTTTATTTAAACAAGAACAGTTAGTTCTTTTTATCTGTTATATGTGATTACCATGATTGTATTGAAAGTAAATGATGAAAACTACAAGCAATTCATGTTTGATTCACGTTTTAAACCATATGAAATTAAACCAGAGAGGAAATCTCACAGGAGCTCCTTCCTAGTTTGTCACTACGACCTAGTTATTAACGAAAAATACGAGAAAATGTATAATACATTCCTCTGACGGCAGTTCTGGCTAATTTATGAGTCTTTGCTTTTGCACAAGCTTTTGTACGGTTTTTTTAGAAGCGAAAGAGCGCACTGGAGTGTCGTGTATGCCAAATGAGAGGGATTTCTCCGGAACGATTCAATATTGTTTGATAAAAATTTTAGAATAAATAGTGGAAATATTGCATACTTTGGGAAAGTAGATTTTATTGATTTTTCATCAGGCTCGACCTCTACAAAGCGACACCTATAACGCGGGAAGAAAACATATTTAGAGCATCATCTTTTGGCTATAAGCTAGTCTACATTGGTTCTGTATATAGTAAAAATTACAGTCCGATCGGTGACATCAAGTATCTGACCATATCGGCTTTTCTTATACAATTGCTCTTAAACTCTGTACCATACCAATGTAAGTATAAAGTTTTGATCACGTTTAATCTCGTGATAATCCAGCTCGAAGAGTCGTACGAGTAGATCGTACCAGATCGGGTATGATCAGATACGATTATATTCTATGATCGTACACGAACCGGTTTGACCTAGAATAATCCTACAAATTGATACACACAAAATGGTACGATCGACGTCTGAAACTTGGTCCCTCAAAAGTCACAGGATCTAGACTACGCGTTTCGTACGACAATCGTACGCACGATATTGCACGATCTGATTGATCCTATGAAATTTTACGTATGAAATAGCAAGATTACATAAGATCGTGCCTGATTTTGTACGATTATATATGATCTTACGCTAATTAGAGATGTGCAACCCGACCCGTACTCAAAGGTTGGGTACGAGTACGAAGTCGTGGGGTACGGGTTCTGTTATTTTTAATTTACCCGCAAATCGGAAGGTTCTAGTGGAAAATCCACAAATTTTAGTGCAAAAATACAGGAGTTTAGCTAAGGTACATGAAGGTTTAAAAAGAATTACTTGAAAACGTAATGATAATTTGACATCTTCATGATGACATGGTTTTAACATCGTTCTTAGCTGGAAAACAAAAGAAGAAAATTTTTAGGCATAAGTCCGGTACGTGTAGGGTACGGGTACGAAAATAGTACCCGTGTACACCTGTAATGCCAATGATATATGATTCTGACTGTTTCTTGCTAGTCTGATTTTCCTTTTCTTGTTCGTTTTTGCCGTATATGAATCTTCCCAATTCATTTCTTTTTCATGTCTTTTAATCATATATGGCACAGTGTGCATTTAGGCAACATTTTGGTGAAAAATCGCAGGTTCGAATTTTTATATTTTGAATGATGACATATATACTATAAATAATACCCTATTTAACGGTGAAAAGTGTTTGGCTCTAGCTTCTTCCAAAGTTGAGAAAATTAAATTACAAAATTATCAGTAGAATTAGTATGATGGCGTGTAAAATTGCATTTTCTCCGTCAAATTATAAGTTTTTTTTCAAAAACAATCACATATATAGAATCACCATCTGTTGGGCTATCTAGCCGTAAGAAAATTTTCGTCGGATAAAGTTAAATTTCGGGGAACGCGCGAAGATCTTTCCATGGAACTCATCTAAAAAACAGATGTCCTCATAAAAATGCAAGCGCTAAACTCCACTGAGCAGCTATTGATATGAAAAATAGCTCAAAATGTTCGTCTCAACCTCCTTTATCAATACTGATCTCACAAAGTCTCCCAACTCTAGGGGTGCTGAGTTACAGGCTTTCCAAAAATCCTGGGGATGTTCGAGTATTTCGCAGTTTTCTCCCTCAAAAAAGCGCCTTTTCTTGAAAGTAAGGTCATATTCGAAATCAGTGTGAAAAACTGCATCGAATGGTGTATAACTCACCTAGTTTCGGTCGCTCGATTTTGAATTCTAGAAATTTCTTAGTTTTTGAGATTAACACAAACAATTTCGTGCTGAAAATTTGAATTTCAAGATAAAGCAACCTGAAAAACTCGAAACATGTTTCTTATAGGTGTCGACAATGCTCTTTCCAGTGGCATCGTTTTTAAATATTGAGAAAGTTTTCTGAAGGGTTTTCCAGAAACCGGATCTCTGGAAAACCCCTTAGAAAACTTTTTCAAAACCCAACTCTCATGTCATTAGGAAGAGGATCATGGAAAACCTATAAAAAAATGGTTCACGAAATTAAAAATAAATATAATCTAAATTTCTTAAAAAGCAAAATCCACAAACAGGGCATCACGAAAAAATGTGAATTGAGATGTTCTGACTCACCCCAACCCAACTTTGGAAAGTACGCTTACGCAAAGCTTCCAGCGCAGATCTTGTCATCAAACGAACTAAAGTGCTGTAAACATAGCGGTCAAGTTAAAAACACACTAATAGTAAAGGGAAAGGCTTCCTTCTGACGATGGTAGACGGTGCTGCTAAGCAGCTAGTGTGCTTAGTGCCATGAAATTAAAGTGAATTTTCTGCAGCAATATACTTCTAAGAAAATGAAAAAATTCATAACTCACAAAAAGAACAAGATAAAAGACTGAAATTTTTCTGTAGTTGTGTTGCATAACAACAATATCCACAAAATGTTTCACCTTTGTAGCTTTTCTCCTTCTAGAGAATTTCCGAATTTACTGTTGATTCGTCCTTCGACACTACCACAGCGGATTATCTATATAATCATCAAAACTTTTAAAAAAGGGTTTAAACTTCCCAAGTATAGACACTATTGACTGATGCACAGATACCTATAGGTAGTGTTTTGCAAAATCTCGATGCTCTCAAAACCCTGGCTTTTGCCAAGATCTGTAGAAATCCTTTTATTTGAGAACCAACTCTTTCGGACCTTGCCAGACACAATACATTAAACTATGATAACTGCGAGAAGTTAAACCGTTTTTTAAACGTTTTGACGGTTAAATAGACAATTCACTGTGGTGCCGTCGAGGATCGAATACAACTGCAGAAAAACTTTCAGCCTTTTATCTTGTTCCTTTTGTGAGGTATGAATTTTTTCGCAGTTCCATCAATAAAATGGCTCTAACATTTCGGGAAAGCGACATGGGCCTGAACCCCTTTAGGCTTTTCACTACCTGACTATGCCCTATTGAACCAGGTATAAATCATATAAATCGGAGATGGCCACTTCCATATGTTCCCTCGTTAGTGTAAGTTCGGTAGTGACAATCGCTTCTTGCTGCCACTTCCATGGTGGGAGTCATTTATCCAGGTTTCTTCTCGGTTATTTAATACTTTTTCTTTGAATAAACAAGAAAAAAATTCTTCGCTTCTTGTTGTTCCCTGTTCTTTCATCGTGTATGGACACAAGTGTAGTATCGAATTCCCATTATAATCATCATCTATTCATTTCATTTTCAAAGAAACAGCGAAATACCTTTAGAACTGAGTGGTATATGTTATTCATCTTTTTCTTTTGAAAGTAATTATTAGTAACTATTGACAGAAAACAGGAGAGAAAATTGATGTGTGTGTGTGTGCAAAGAGTAATATATAGAACATTGAAAAGAAGACGGTGTTACTTTTGGAAGAGAAAGAAACACACAATTCCAATAATCACTATGCCATCAAAAGCTGTACAAGAATGTTACGGTTCAATGTGTTGAATGTTACTCTTACAAATTGTGTGATCGATTTGTTCACTTGCAGAATAGCTAAAGTTCTAAAACTAGTGTCCTATCTACTTCGTTAAAGCGACTATGGTACCGTAGAAAAATAGTCTGTTTATTGTGATTCAAAATAAGCTGTGAAGCTTTTATTTTAAATAATTTTACTCTCTTTCAATGATATCCAGGTTATGACGTTGACAACAGAAAAAGTTTTAGTAATGATTTCAGTGTTGATATGCTCGTTAATCAAAGTTGATAGATGTTCACTAGCGTTCTTATGGTTTCGACAAATTATTATTTGATTTACGATTATGCGTGTGTAATGTGAATCATGAGTTATATTATGCTCTTTCGAATCTAAATACTTACTCCATGAAACTTGCACGAAAGTCTCAAAGAATGAGATTATTTGATGAAGCTCTAACATACTTTCTTCTCAGGTTTCTTGAGATACAACTTCTCGTACATTCAGATCTCTTTGTTTTAGTCAAATCAACTAATGTGATTTGAAGCTCGCATATCCCAAACTCCTAACGACTTCTTAAAGTCGTACTACGTCAACGGTTTTAATGATAATAAAATCGTAATATGATTCTACGACTTTAGATATACAGAGGGGTTTTCAGAGCAGATGTATTGTTCCTGTAAATCTGATTCATGTTTTGCTTTCGCTCTATTCTTGTTCTTTGTATGAGACGGTGAGGAAGGAAGCGGAGCAACAATCGAAGGCTTATACTTGATGTACGTTTGAGTTAGTGGTCGTGTGCTTGTACGTATGATATGTTTATTTTAAAATGTTTAAAAAAAGAGAAAAAAAGGTTAACGAACTTTCTACATCGTAGGATGATGACAATAATTGTATCTACGTTATACCAGCAGTTTTATAGTTTCTATTGAGTTAATATAGTTCAAATCTAATTCTAATTTTCATATTTCATTTTTAAATGTACTAGTCCATTTATAGCAGTTCCTCCTGTACCTGGTACTAAACTTATCCATTCGGTACTTTCACCACTATCATAAACGTTTTTTAAATTAACTTTAGCTGAACCAATATGATCCTGTCCAACTGGATCTTTGTCATATACAGCCATATGTAAATAATCACATTTCTTGTCCCCTAAATCACTGTAAAAGAAAAATAGCGAAATTAAACATTATTTAAGCGGTTTTTTATATTAAATTCACTCACAAGACAAGTGTTTCGTTCCATGTTGGATTATTCGAATTATTAATCACTTTTGTACGTTGTTTATCTTTTTGATCATCTAACCATAATTCAACATAGGCATCATCTTCACTACCAACATCTTCGTGTTTCAAATGACGTCCCGCTAATACTACAACTGTTAAACGTCCCATTATGTAAATAATACTGTGTTTTCCGTGGTCGTTGCTGCTGCTAAAATGAATCAGCATAGAAAAAGAGAAAGATAGGTTTATTAAACCTTAGACTTAGACTTTAGACCTTAGACCTTAGACCTTAGACTTTTATTAAACAATTGTGTAGGATGAAGAAACGTCTTTTCCACGTCTAGTTTTATATTTTGGACTGAAGAAACGTTTACGAGACTATGAATTAAGTATAATAAAGGTGTGCAAAAATAGCACTTCCCACATTTGAGCTACTGACAATAGTTTCTCAGAGCATTACAATTCAACTGCTTGTCGTTTAAATGGATACTTGGTGATACATTTGGTTTACCCAATCTTTTGTTTCTCAAGGCGGATTCTTTCTTGGGAAGGAGAATCCCAACGTTAGCTATGCAATTTGCGTAAACGACATAATGACCTTTTGCCCATACATTTCAGTAAAAAGCCACACCTGTTTTAAGATAGTTAGGAACGAAGATGTATTTCAACAGAATACCGGAAACTTTTTAGTAACAGTTAATGTTTAATGTTGTTGAACGTGGATGCTGTTTTGGTAGAGAGGTTTGAAGAAACGGAACGTTTTATCGAACCCTTTCTTTAAAAGATTATATACATACATGCTAGTGGAAGAGAGAAAAAGTTTTGATTGAAGATTCAGTCCTTTTTCTTTTTTTCCTCTCTACAAACGAAATGAAAACATAAATTTAGGCTTCCGCCTTCAACAGCATGTCACTTTCTAGTATTAAGAAAGAAAAAGGATTGAAAATCATTGTCGATTCTGTTTTTTGATTACGATAAAAAAGCAATATTCAGGTAACATAAGAATAAGCAAGTAAAAAGTATAAGTGTTAGTCAAATTGTAAGGCTTGTATATTAAGAGGCTTGAATGTCGGCCGCAGGATATTTTCTCAATAAAAATGCACTACAATCAGTTAACTTTTGCCACACGTTCACAAACTTTTTCTCAAAACTTCAACCTAGCTTTTTCTTTCTCAGCTCAATGTCCTGTAACTAACTAACCATGTATAAATATATCAAAAAGGAAAAGTCATGGAAACTTCGAATTTTCAGTTCTTTGCCAACTTTTTTGAGTGAATTATTAAATTACGAGCACCTTACTGTTCCTTAGTTATTGAATTTTTAAGATTTCCATGGATCCAACGTTACCTGTAAAACGTCTATAAAGTCGTCAATTTTTTACCAAAATTATTGAAATTTTAAAAACCGAGATGATTTTGACCATTACACACTGGAATCATTAAAGTGCTACAATCTCGGTGCTCCATACTAACAGATTTTCTAGAAAGACCAATGGGTTTGAGAAGAAAATGATCTAATATTGCAATGAATCAATTAAGTAATTAAGTCAGTAAGATTCTTGTGGTGGTGTTAATGGTACATTTGAATAAGTTGTCTGCTTACCAGTTACCCGCGTTATTTTCACCTGATTACCAGTTATATCGCATAACTCACTGACAACCTAAAATATTCAAGAGTGCTGTTTACGGTTTGTGGTCGAAACAATTTCAAGAATTTCTTCATAATTTTGTTCTGATTTCTCATTTCGAATATATTCAAACATAAATATTGTATCATCAATTAGTTGTTTGTAATCCATTATATCACCACTCAGTGAGTATAAAGTACATACAGCAGATGATGTCAATGGTAAACATTTATTCAATATACAGAGTGTTGCAAAACCTTTACGTCCCCCTGATTCGACCTTAAGGTCAAATGATTTCACTAAGTATTTTATACCAAATTGAGGCCCGTAAAAAACTACATCGATGAGTGCAATTAGACCAAATATTGCCTATTACATTATTAAAAGATCTTACACTATATATCAAAATGTCATAGATCCTATAATGTCGAATATATGAAAAAACGAGCATACCCAATTTTTGAAGAATTTGTTTTGCTTTCTCTACTGACATTATTGAGATAGTGCTTCAGCGAGTTTCTCACAATTCCAACGACAAACAATCGGCTGTTGTTTGTAAGAACAGCGTCCATTGTCGTCTGATCCGTCACAAATAAAACTTCGGATAACGATCCAAAAATCCATAAGGTCCATAATCAATTGTGACACCTACAATGCTCATATTGTCTGTGTTTAAAACACCATGACAGCATCCGACACACTGCCATTCGGCAAGCTAGTCATTGTTAATCATGAGTATTGAATCTTTTTCAATTAAGAATAAACACATTATCCAGTTCGTGTACGTGTGTTGTAACAGTCGAACAGAATGAGAGCTACTTAGAGTAGATAGTACTCTACTCTAAAAGAATACACATTAAAAACACTTCAAAGTGATATAAGCTACCATCAAGAAGTAAGGTATATGTGGAGAACACAGTGGGTAATCACATGGAAATTAGGTGAAAAAACGAAAGCTACTTTTTAATGATTTAAATAGTGTTTTATATACACCAGCTAATGGCCAATTTAATGGTGAAAAATATTTGATCCAAATGCTTTAAGTGGTCGAGATGGGTAAGTCCCAATTTTTTGCAATTTTTGCTACAACTCGACGAAAATCGTTTTCTCTTGTCAAATAGGCAGTCACTTAAAAATTGTAACATATATATTCTGAAAGCTGCGCACTTGGGCTATTTATTCATAAAAAAATTTTTGTCCGAACGGGTTTGCGAAAACGAAAGAACATGATTTTTATCTCTTTTATCTGCACGAGATGTCTTTCGGAAACATGTGCCTAGTAAAGTAGGCACGCCATCCACATCCAAGCTCTGTTTTCAATGAAACTTTCAGCAATTGTTCCTCTGTATGTGGCACGTCTAGATGGAATGCCCAAACTTGCCCAAACATTTCTGGGCGAAGTTGTAGATTTTACAAAAACCCTGGATTTTATCGTTTTGCCACGTTTTCCTTAGTCAAAAAGCATCCTAGCTAAAAAGTAAGGACATATTCGGAATCAGCGTCAAAAACTGCATCTAATGATGTGTCCTTTTACCACTTTCAACGCATGTATGCTGAATTTTTCTGAAAATAGATTTTTCAAGATTTTTCTCTAAAGTTAAAGCTGCTGCTTTTTGCACGGCATCTTGAGCGTTCGAAAATTGTGAAAACCAGTTTTCTATAGGTTTTCGACCATAATGAATCTAATGGTGTTGTTGAAAAACTTTTAAAGTGGTTTTTTGAAGGGTTTTCAAGAGACTGAATCTCTGGAAAACTACCACAAAACCAGATTTTAGCTGGGATACGGATGCCATAAGAAAGTGCGCACACAAAAACCTATTAAAAACAAATTTTTCGGTTCAACGGGTCGCGCTGAAATAAATTTCCACGTGCCTATGGAAAATTGCCCACTGTGGAGAAATGGGTATAACGTTTTTCCATATATTCGACATTATAGGATCTATGACATTTTGATATATAGTGTAAGATCTTTTAATAATGTAATAGACAATATTTGGTCTAATTGCACTCATCGATGTAGTTTTTTACGGGCTTCAATTTGGTATAAAATACTTAGTGAAATCATTTGACCTTAAGGTCGAACCAGGGAGGGGTAAAGGTTTTGCAACACCCTGTACATAATCCTACTATGAATGTTGAATCTTTCATACTAAGAGATCAATTATATGCTAATTGCGTATCTTTACTTTTCTCAATATCACTTATCTCACCACAACATTGCTCTATGGCTAAATCCAGACGGTTCAGCATCGACACGATAACGAAGCTCGAAAATTATCTAAAAATGGAAACAGCTTACGTTCTAATATAAAAGATTGCATTTCACCTCAGTCACCTTCAGATTTGACAATGGATTGAGTTCATGAAATTATATTTGCTGCAGCTGAATTTTAACATTTTAAGTTATTTTATTATAATCGAAAGCTCATAATTATAATAAAATAACTTAAAATGGATCATTCAGCTGCAGCAAATACAATTTCATGGATTCATAAAGTCCTATCAATAAATAAATTTACCCGTTCTAAATTGAGTTGTTTATCGTCTCTATGCCCACTATGTGGAATGTTATTCGATCACATAAAATGATTGTTTTAATAATTAGTTTTAATCGCTTTCTATTCTCTATCTTGTCCGCTTTTTGTTTTTGTATTAATCTATCATGAACACTAAACGTTTTTTTCTCATAAAACGATAAAAATTCGTCAGCACGCAATAAGTTGTTCTTGTGATAATCATGGTTAGTGTGACGGAGTAGTGTTTCAGTTAATCGAGCGTATTATCGCTAGGAAGTAGACACCAACTGTCCGCTCCAACTCGCTGTCGCTGTTTAAAGATCTCAGAATGAAAATGCACATAAAGGTTGAATTATCACAAATTTTGAGTTACCTCGGTGTAAGCACGCTTTGCCGTTTGAGCCTTTCAGAATGTAGCAACGATTATTTCGATCCTGTTTGACGCGTAGATGTGTGTGCCGCAACGATAGCGGCACACCTAGAGCACCTCAATTATAGCTCAATTATTGCTCTCTACATTTGGTCTAGATACACATCTACAGATACACATTCACTGGAAGTTCGAGCATGAATGTTTTCTTCACATACGGCAAACATAAGCTATGAATTTGTCAGACAATTAAAACAGATAATTCATAATGATAACTCTAATTATCATTTACGTGCAATTTACAGAACACCTAATACAATAAAACGTCATTTTCCATCTAAGGAGCGTTCAACTACTGATCAGATTTCAGGGGTAGTTTATGAAATTAATTGTAACGATTGTGATACTGCATACATCAGGAAAACTACCGGGTGTCCGGAAATTCATCTACCAAAAAAGAAAATTTAATATCTCGGTCATTTTTCAACTAAATCGAACAATTTTTTTTTTAAATGAAAGAGAAATGTTCAAAGTTTTCTTTGGTACCAAAAGTTACTACAGATATTGCTCGAAAGTGTCACCGTTTACATCGATACATAATTTGAGTCTTTTCACAACACCATCAAAAACATTTTCCAATGTTTCTTTTTTTATACCTTTTATTTCTTGTTCAATCCTTTCCTTCAGTTCGGCAATATCGTTGACCTTCGTTTTGTATACTTTTGGTTTGATGTATGCCCATAGAAAAAAATCAAGTGGCGTCAAGTCTGGAGAGCGTGGTGCCCAAGATATTGGACCACCTCTGCCAATCCACCTTCCACTGAATTTTTCATTTAACCATGCACGAACTTCTTTGGAAAAATGCGGCGGCGCGCCATCTTGCTGAAAAATCATCTTATTATGAAGTCTTTTTCTTTGCATAATTGGAAAAAAATAATTTTTTAACATTTGAAGATAGTTTTGTCGATTGACTGTTTCACCTTCAAAAAAGTATGGACCAATGATTTGCTTGTCAGACATCGCACACCAAACGTTCACTTTGGGAGACTTCATCGCAGATTCGATGGTGGTGAAGGGATTAGCTGGTGCCCAAATTCGACAATTATGCTTGTTCACGACCCCGGAAACGTAAAAAGTTGATTCATCAGAAAAAAAAATGTTTCCGTCATTTCTCTGATCTTCAAGAATCGGTATCAGATGTTCCGACATTTCCACACGTATATCCATATCTTCATCATATAACTGTTGAACGCTATGCATCATGTATGGTTTATATCCGATAATATCTCGCATTATCTGATGTGTTTGATATTTGGAAATGTTTGCTTCTCGTGGCACAGTTCGAACACTGTTCGAAGGTTCATCATCCAAAATTTGTTGAATCTCTTGAACTTTATCTTCTGTTATTGTTGAGGGTCGTCCTGTATGAGCACGGTTCCCAACCGAGCCAGTTTCGAGGAATTTCTGGTATATTGATGTTACTGTATGCCTTTCTGGAATATTTGTCATTCCTCGGCGTCGTAGTTAACGAATAGCCATAATAGGAGACTCATATTTCGCCATTAGGATAACTACTTGAATTTTAGTTTCTAAAGAATGTGACATGTTATTGCTCTGGAACAAAGATAAAACTTTGAACATTTCTCTTTCATTTAAAAATAAAATTGTTCGATTTAGTTGAAAAATGACCGAGATATTAAATTTTCTTTTTGGTAGATGAATTTCCGGACACCCGGTATAAGGCAAAATAAAACAAGCAGATTTTCGTTTTTTTAAGTATTTCAAAGGACATACATATGTCAGATGCTATGCCGATCGAAATAATCTTTTGTGAATGAATTTTACGTGGACGACACGTTCCAAAAGATAACTTAACGACTTACAATTTCTACTTATTTTCTTCAGCTTCGTTTTCTATAAAGTTCCTTTTTTATATAAACTGAAAAAAATCAGTCGAGTTTCGTACAGCCAGTACGGAATGAAACTCCTTGGTCTTTTCATCGTGACGTGCATGTAGAAGTGCTTTAGCGATATTTTTCTTTGAAAAAACTCAGATTGCCTGTTTACTTTCTCTGTTTACAATGTTACTTTTGTTTATTGCTTACTTTTAGATATATTTTGTTTATTCAACGACGACTTACATTATGACTTCGACGGGTCACATCCAGAAGATAATATGATCCGTCAAGTTTGATGCTTAAGTTAATAAGCAGTCTGTTTCAGCTATTCTGACATCTCTCCCCACATCTTCCTTTAGCTTGGTCGAAAAGTCAATAATCGTACTGTTTTCCACAGCATTGCGTGTTATAAAACAACGATAGAATTTTCTATTATGTAGGATACGTTGCAGCATGACAACAGTATCGGACTATATAGCGCTAAAATTAGTAATCGTCATATTCCTCGACAGTTTTTATATATTGATGGGATTAAATCTATCGAGACGTCACGTTAGACCACTACACGGAGCTTTATCGTGACATATCACGCGATATAAAGGTTTCGCTTTCCATCCCCATAGATTATTATCTCGATAAGAAGTTTTATCGCAATAATGGAGATCTTTTTTCAATAAAAACTTCATCGTGGACAGAAACCGATAACTTCTGGCATATCGCAATAAATTTTTTACAGCAGTTTAGCGTGGCGTCTCGATAGAGTTAAGACCTATCCAGATATAGCATATAAAATATCGCCTCCAATCGCGATATTTTATCGAAAAAACCTCGTGGACCGTTCTTTCCCAAGCCCACTGTCTTATCGCATGTCGCGTCTTTTTAATAAATTGACAATAAGGGAGTCATATTAGTTTTACTGTGAACGTGGTTGAATCGCGAACTCGGGACACGATGACGCGAGACTTATATTTCTCATGCGCGATCCCCTTTCTTCGACTAGTACTCTTACGCATTTCTTTTGCTTCTAAGTATAAACTTTACCGGTCCCTGTATTTCTTGTTGTGCTTGGATAGCTTCTGTTTAGTTTAATTTTTGGATTTGCAATATGCTGGCAGTTCGTGGACAGCATGTTCGAATTTTGCCGATTGACTCGGACTCCGACGATTAGTATTTAATTATAGCACTTCCGGAAACATTTGCTAGCAAATTACAGAGGTATCTGTTAAGCCATCATCTAAGCTTTATCTTTTGGCTTACCATCTCTTTTAATTTAATATCAAACAGTTAAAACATCGAGGTGAGAAAAGGAATGTTCCGTTCGGGAACATTCCACAGAAATATGTACGTCTTGTAACACCGTTCTTTGATATAAGAGAAGGTGATCTTTTTGGATACCACCATTGTTCGAAGATACTTTTCACTCGCTACATTTTTAAATTTTTGTTGGTATTTTTTATACTTTATAGTTTAGTGCTTTCTTTTACACATTGTACACTTAAATACGGCATTTAAAATATTATTCAGCTACATCTCCTATTTACTACTAAACTATGGTCGCTCACAATTTCCGCTTAATACAATTTGCATTACTCTTATGAATTATGCATTATACCTATCATATACGTGTATCTGTATCAGTTGTCTGGCAACATTCTTACATTTATAATATGAAAATGAAAGTATGATTTATGTTTGCATGTCTGCAATCCCAATCACACGAAACATGACCTGCTCCACAGATTCTCAGCAGATACAAGATCACAAGTACGCATCTCAATTAATCCTCCTTAATCAAACACCTGTTTTCAATGTGAGGAAGAGGAAGACGATATAAACGTTGAGTGACCATATCTTTAAAACTATATTTCGTCAATTGTCTTTCTATTTACTAAAAACGTTAGCAAGCCCAAAACTCATGGCTTTGATCGCTCCCGTTTGATTGATCAACGTTCTCAATGTATAGACTTTAAAGTTACAAAATTGTATGTATAACATTCACGCTCAAGAAATATGTATGACCCAACAGCAATCCGCGAATGCAGCGAAAACATGCAAAAAACATGCACGCTTGTTCTCTTTTAGGTATTTATCTAAAAGAGGTTTTACGCCTTATTGCCTTATTTAAGCATACATAGACTTTAAATCACGCCTGCGTGTTGTCTATGACCGTTGATCCATCTTCTACAGAACTCCCTCTTTAAGTCTACTCTATAAACATAACGTCTGCGGTTTTCGTGTTTAAATGTTTTGTTTTTATGTCAACAGAGGGGTCTTATCGAATTAAAATGCCTGTAGGTTTGTTTGTATGTCTACAGACTAAATACTAGCGACACACAAATCAGGAGCGGTAACTTGATTGGATGGAAACGATAGGTAATCGACGAGGAAGTGTCATGAAATCCGGATTATTAAAATCCTTTTTTTAACTCATCCAAAAACTATTCATCCAGAATCCAACATGTCCGCATGAATCATTTACCGGACATGTTGGAATCCGGATGACTTATTTCCAGATCAGTTTCCCTCGATCAAGTCCGACAGCTTCTAAAAAAGTTCTCAAGTCCGGGAAAAAATTGTAGACGAGTTTGTCACTTATAATAAAAAACAATGCAAGTCCGCATGTCATAGAATATAATAGTAATACTAGTAGTTTCATTATTAAAGTACATTTGGAGTTTGTTTCATTCATAAGACATGTCCGCACATACTAGAGTATTACTCTGTGATATCGCTCGATTTCTGTAGTTCCTTAAAACTAGAATTTAGTGCAATTCGGTTGCATTACAACAAAATTTAACGCTGTTGTGTTTGTAAGTGTCTTTAGTGTTATCATTAAATATTATTAGAAATATGAGTCATTTTTCCTATTGTAGACTAACATCCTTAAATCATACTGGACTTATTTAGAGTATGATCTAAGACCGATATATAACTGATTAACAATCGGACTTGCATTGCTTTTATTGCAAGTGAAAAACTCATACAGAATACTTTTTACTGGAGTTGGTCGGAGGAAATTTATCCGAAAATTTTACGGACTTTTAAATCCGGTCGAATTCTATTGTTTGTAATGTTTATGTCAACTTCGTTGGATGAAAATGATGTGCAATAAGTATTCGACTATCGAGAATAAGGAAATGGCTATGTGTGCGCCAGCGGGGGCGCCACATCACTGTGACCGGGGGGAAGTGTGAGCGTTGTCTTTGATTCAAAGTCATCGAAGGTCGTTCGCAAATATAAGTTCCTAACGTCAAGCTAGAGTCACCTTGCGTATATGTGCCGGGAGTGATCAATACTGTGAAAAATTGGCACGTTGCAAACGAGTGTACTTACGAGCGATAGTACAATAAAAAGTAGAACACCAGCTGAACAGCTCCGTGACTTCGGTGGAGAACCAGCGGGTTAGCGAGCCTTACTTGGCTCAACTTGATAGGATGAAGTGATATGGAATTGGTATTCGACTGTGATGAATCAGAAAATGGCTATGAACGACCTCTTGGATCGATTCTGTTGCTTGAAAATTTCATTTCAGCTTGATAGGATGAAAACGGTATTCCCTTGACTGTAAAGGAAATAATCTTATTCAATTAAAATGTACAGAAATTGCTAAATTCTATTGGGGTATCTATGTGTGGTTCAGGACAGAATAAAACTTCAAAATAGTAATTACGTGAGCAAAAGGAAACTTTATGCCAGTGAGGTGTGCTGCGAAAGTAGCTCTAGTTCATCTCATTTATCACTAGGCATCATCCGGAAATCGCCGCAGCGGATTCTTATACGTTAAAGTGTTAAAATATAAACGTGTATAACTGAGGGTGAGGACGAGGGTGGAGCACTTCTTCCCCCACTTCGCTCTCACTTCTCCACCCTCACCCTCAGTCGCCGCGAGTTCGTATATGTTAAAGTGTTAACGCTAGTGTTAACACTTTAACACTGAATCCGCGGCGACGGCGATTTCCGGATGTTATGAAGAACTACGATAGTTGTCAGAACTGTCGTAGTACTTGTTTGGTGAGAATGTAATGTGACCAACAAAGCTAATTATTTTGTTCTATAGAAATAATTTGATATCGGCGACTCCTTTCTATGTAAGGGATAAGTGAATCAGAATGATAAACACTACTTCTTTTACTTAAATTAGAAGATTCGCCGCTGCCGAACATTTTTTATCGGTGCACAAGTCTGTTCGTAACTGCACTGAAGATGCCATTTTTTAATTGATGAGGTTGTCGTTGTTCTGATTCGTATTTTTTAAAATAATTGAAGATAATTACTCGACGTATGAGATAACGAGCTCGAACTGTAAGACAGTTTTGGTTTTAATAAACTGAAGATGAATCCTCCAATAAATAAAAGAATATGAATGCGAGTTATTGATCTGTCCCGCATTGCATGCAGTGTTAATATCCTAAACTTGACAGTGTCTTAAATGCACATCAATTATTCAGTTTTTGCATGCCTATAGGCACGAAATCCTACAGTCATACATAGAAAATGAACAAAAGAAAGAAAAAAATGCTATATGCTTCTATCTCTAATTTCCAATCGGTACTGCTCGGTCCATTTTAAGAGATATAGCGTTCAAAATTTTCTGGGAGTACGACTTTGTAAGTTCTATGGAATGGCACATTTAAAATATTCGGTGAAAATATAACTACATACCGCGAAACTCGTTTTTTGTCAAAGTTTCGTCTGTAACTCTTTTCCAGAGAACGTCAACCTGTGATGCAAAAGTAATTGGACAAATGTCGAGCATTATTTCTACATGTTCCTGATGTGCCGGAAAATTAATTATTTTTCCGTTGGAAAGAGCAAAGTTTGATCTTGAAAAACCATAGAAAACCAAACTTTTTGTGGCTGGGTTTGAATGAGAAAAAGTTTGAATGTCAAACATCGCCAAAAGAGCTCTTTGTGAAGTATCTTTTCTGGTTGAAAAGTGAATCAGAACATGATTTATCATATCTCATTCAAAACGCCAATAAAAATGCTTCTAGTTTCTATAATTGGATAATTTCAAACGTACTCAGTTATTGGAAAAAAAATACATTTGATAAGAGAGATGGTCAGGAGACTGCGGAAGTTACAAGAGCTTTTTTGCCGATGCTTAAGATTCAAAGTTTTTCTCACTTAAATCCAACCACTAAAAGTTTGGTTTTCTATGTCTTTTGAAGATTAGACGTTGACGAAAAATAATTAACTTTTCAGCACATCAGGAACATGTAGAAATAATGCTCAACATTCATCCAATTACTTTTGTATCGTAGGTTATAGTATGTTCGAGGGCGGAGTGCTAAATGACTTGAAGTGCTCGGCAAAATTGGATTTGCCTCATTTCAAATGAAAGCTATGCAACAACTTAGTTGGAGCTGAGTGAATTTACTCCTAAGCTTTTCGTTCTAAAATATCATTTGACAATATTTGATATTCTCTGTTGTACTGATCGACCATTTGTGGACTTCTATTGAACTGATGTATAACAGCATAAACACTTTTATTTAAATTAATAGCTAAACCAAATTTATTTCGATATACCCATGGTGAATAACCGAGTGTTCCGACAAATCCTGTTTCATGTGGAATAAGTGATGTATTTGGTACTAGGTAATTATGAATAATATGATTATGTATACCTTGATCTTTACATCCACTAATTGTGTATTTAGTTAGAATCAATTTTTCCATCAATGTCAAATAGATCATCATCCCTTTATAGTTGCCTAGCACTGTTCCAGCACAAGCAATCGATTTATTTGATAATTTTTGAAATTCGCTTTCATCAAAACAACTTCGTACCCATGGACCACTAAATCTACATGTTCCGATTGTCCGGATATTTGATTCAAGAATACCATATAATCGAACAGTATTCGGTTGATCATCAATGGGTATATAATCGAATATATTCGATTGAAATACCGTATCTTTCATATCACATAAGAATAAATTTTGAAATTTTAATCTAATTGACTTTAAATGTAATAAATAACGGTAGAATACAATCCATCGTGAGAAATAAATATGTAAATTTTTCTCTGCTATACTGGTATACTCAGTCACGGATTGGTGATATGGAATAAATTGAACCGAATAGATAGAAGTTAATTGTAGAAAATCAGTAGTATTAATTAAATTATCATTAACTAATAGCACTATATGACATGCATGGCAACTAGAACGAGCTGATCGAACAAAACGATAGATTTCAACCAACGATACATTTGTAGCTGCACTAAATATGCCATTTTTTAATTGATGAGGTTGTCGTTGTTCTGGTTCTGGTTGTTCTGGTTCGTTTTTTTTAAATAATTGAAGATAATTAGTTGATATATGCGATAACGAGCACGAACTGTAAAACATTTTTGATATTAATAAACCGAAGATGATTCCTCCAATAAATAAAAGAATATGAATACGAGTTGTTGATTTGTCCCACATTGCATGCAGTGTTAATATCCTAAACTTGCCAGTGTCTTAAATGAACATTAATTATTCCCCTTTTTAGAAAAGGAAAATATAAATCGTTGTTTTTGTGAAAACGAAAATAGGTAATTTGAATTAAGAAAAATAGTGTTTATGTACAAGTAACATTCATCTTCGATTCGCTCGAACCTTGACTGAAAGAACTGTCTTACGAGCTGAATCAGCCACGGTAATTGGATAGCTCAGGCGTCCTTTCGTTCGGGCTTTGTGCGCGGATACAAGCTAAAATGGTAGTTTGAGTTTAGTAGTTTCGGTGTCTAACACGCCTATTCTTATTATTGGTGAAATTAGTATTAAATCGCAATCACTCAATAGAAAAGCTTTTTCTATCCAACGCCCACATACTGTTACCATAAACATTAGAAAATTTGGTGCTTGCTCCGCGCTTAACCAAATTGGATAAAAATTGGGCGCCAGACGCAAACTATGACGGTGAATCCGACAGCGGATTCTTTATAATCACACCTTCATTTCTTTTTTGGCGTCGACATAATCAACGTGGTTTTTGCCTAAATTTTATTTTTCTCATTGGTTGTAAAAAAGGCACCAATGAGAAAAATAAAGTTTAGGCAAAAAACACATTGAAGTGAAGGTGTAATTATAAGGTTCATGGTTGAAGGAGCAAATTCGTATAGTAAAAGTAAAAGGATGATTAGTATAGAAGGGTGTACAAACGCAAAAACCTCATGTTTTCTGCGTCTTGTTTTGATCCGTTATTGTATGTAAAAGTCCGTGTATATGTACATTTTCCTGTGTTGTTTATATCACACAACACTACATCCTTTATATTTTCTGAGAAAATAAGTAGACAGAAGGCCTGATAAATCTCACCGTCCAATGCACCTGGTTGAACTTCATAAACCCCCCCCCAGAATAGAAGGGCATGGCTTTCTCTTGTGTCCCGTCGGATCAAACTTTTTAGGGTGGCCTTCTATTAAGAGTGGCCTTCTAAACCGACCTCCTAGATAGAATTTTCTAAAAGTT